GTAACATAATTTTCTTGTGCTTTTTAAGTAAATAAAAAATGAACATACCTTAATGATCAGATTTTCTAACACAACTGGCATCGTAATATGTATTGCTCTGAGCCTGAGATTTATGCTATGTCATGGCAGTGAATTCCCCTCCGCTATTCCTAAATATTATATGTATCAGACAAACATAAATTTTAGGAATTTACACCTCAAGTGATGAAGCAATTTTTGATATTTGGCTCTTGCAAGAAATCCAAATCCAATTTCGAATCTTAAGATTTTTATGTAAATATGGTTCATCACTGATTCTTATCTAAAATAACCATGTTTACTTAACGTTGGTATTACATTATATTATTGTTTACTAAGAACTAGAATATCACAGATGATATAGAACACCAATTTCAGACTTTAAAAAAATCTGTTCTTCATTTATAACCTTATCTAGTAAGCTAACCAATAATTTATCTATCATGGGAATTAATAATCAAACCATTGTGTTACACCGTGATTAGCACTTAAAAACACAATCGTTTGCAGCAATTAGTCACTTAGTTGATCAGACCAACTCTGTCTTCTACAGAAATAATCGTTAATGTCATATGGCTGTTTTTCTTGGGATTAATTATTTCAAAGCATCACTATTATTCAGTAGTAATTTGCTGCATTTCATTACTTTAAAAGGTGTACAATTTGAGGATATGTGTAGCATAACCTTTTTGCATATTAATAAAACCACTACTTTTATTTCAATTGACAGAGTTATAAATCATTTGTCTGATATAAACGATGCAAAAGAATACTTAGAAAGAAGCCTTAACCGTAAATTAATTCAATATCGTTTATTTAATGAATTCTATTCTTCACATGGATTTAACGAGGATAAAGATTCTTTGGATAAATTTGTAACACAAGTTGAAGATAAAAATCTTAACCAGTTGATTTCATGGTTAACTGAATTTTGGAATCAACTACATGAAATTCCTTATTCATTGCTACAATCAAATCAGTTCACTATTTTCGGTATACGAACATTTCTAACATGTCCAATGCATTCACAGCTGTCATTAAACTGGTTTCTTGACTTATGGAATAATATGTTGGTGCCTATTTTGTTTAAGGATATAAAAAATGTAACGACCTCTACTATGCCAACAAAAAAAGAACCTTTAAACAATATATTTAAAACATTAAATAATATTCTTGGATGGATAACGATAACATGGCCATGGAATCCTACAGTTGTCAACTTTCCAAAATCTATTAGGGAACCAAAAATAACTTTAACACAGAATTCAATATCTATGATGAAAAATTATCAGTTGACGTTGTCCACATTGTGTAATTCCGACGTGGAAGTTTGTCAACACCGTACAAGTATGGATTCTGGTATTATTCTAGATGGAATAAATCCAACAAACAACAATCTTTTCAGTTGTTTTGAAAATAATTCAAATATCATGTATGGTAACAATTATTATAATCATTATCACTATCCGTATGGAATGGGAGACAATTATAATGTACAACACCATGGGTCCAATACAACTGATTGTAATCAACTAACTACGACAACATCCTACCAATTAAAGAATGAAAATCGTACCAGAGGCAATTGTACAAAAACTGTTACTTCTGTGAAGTAAGAATAATGAACACATATAAAACATAAATAAAAGTCCTTGTCTTTTCAATCAGAATCTTATGTAAAAAGTCACAATGTCATTCTTGATTTCTGTTTGTTTTTTCATCAGTAAAAATTTAGATTATCTTATATTTATTCTTAAACACTACAGGTTTATATCATATTAATTATATCATGAGTATTTAACTTTAAAAGGATTGCTTTTTCCGAATTTTTCTTTGCAATATTGCTTTTATTCTGTAAGTAATATATATCTACACAATTTGATTTTTGTTTAGAACAAAATTAAAGATGATAACAATAATTAGTTATTATCAATGACTTGGGATAAGAACAAATTATAACAGTTATAGTTTTCTCACAGTGAAAAACGTTTGTCAGTCTCCTTCATTCTAAATAAATATGGAAGAGATGACCGAGAACAACTAACATTTTCACGTTCTTTAAGATGCCTATAAAACCTTGATTTATATATATATATATATATATATATATATATATATATATATATATATATATATATATATATATATTTCAAATAAACGCATCTAGAGCTCACTCAGTTACTTGACCATACGTAAAGTTACGTCACGATTCTATCTTCAGCAAACACGTATTCTATTCACATATAATAAAAACAAGGTCTTATAAGTAAAGTTCACTACTATCCCTCTCATCTATTGTGTTCTCAATTGAAGAGCTAACAAGCTTCAATTTAAGTCATTTTAAGTAAAGATTATGCGGTAAGAAGTTTGAGTGACTTCCGAAAAAGTAGAAGTTAGTTGTAGATACATATGCATATAACCACTACGACTCACGAATAAGTATTAAAAAACAAGGTAGCAATCGGAGGCAGACCAGTAACTAGTAAATCTAAAACCTATTTCATTACTTTGATGGCAGATCATATCACTAACGTTTATAGATAGCTGGATTTTAGCACAATGGTATGATAGTAATCTGCTTTACCCAAGACTTATAGATTCTTATTTTGATTCGGTAAGGAGTTGTGGATGCATACTGCTGATGAGTCCCAGAAGAGCAGGTAATAGCTTCCCTACTTTTTTCGACTGATGTCTTAAATGTTATCAGCCTGTGATAAAGTCATTCTTCAGATACTTTTATTTCTCAACGTGTCTGGATGATTAGGAATTATGAGGAACGTCATTATTTTCATTTCATTTAGATATGACTCTGAACACTTATCTATATTGATGAGGAAAAATCCTAACAAAAGATTTCGTTCATTTTAACTGGATGGGATGATATTACGTTCAGCTGTAAATTAAAAATGATACATATCAATACTACAAACATGAACTTCAGGATTATTTACCTAGCAAAAACGGTGCTGACTTCTTCGGCTCACTGGTCTATGAACGTTAAAATGATTAAAAAAAGCATTCGATCACATTAGTGTGCCCGATTTCATCCTGGACAAAATATGAGATAAATAATATTGACATGATTCATTCCCTTCCCGGTTCAGGTATATTTTGTGATTTCTAAACAATTATTTCGATACATACACCTCAAGTACAGCAATCTTTGTTCGCATGAAATACTCTTGAACAGTTTTAAGTAAGATAGTGTCTTTACACGTTTTGTCTGACTGTGCAGCCTCCTTTTTAATCCTGGTGTATTTATCATCCCGTAAGCTTTGAAAAAATAAAAAGGAAGGTATTATTTCAAAGCTAGTCAAAACCAAAACCCTTTTAGAGATGTAAAAGGTAATATCATTTTAAGCTAAGTCATCCAGACAAGGTTCAAATGCCCTCATTGTGAATCATGAGCTCTGAAATCATATATGCACCTAAGAGGATTGCCATATATTTAGAAAACACGAATATTCTAACCAGAAACTTATTTTCTGTGAAACTAAACATTAAAATATCATTATGCAGAGGCACTGTCAAATATGTTTCCCTAAAATGAAAGTGTTAATACAATTTTAAATAAGACAGTTGGACTCCTCTTTCAGAATATCCGCCCAATTCATTCTTGATTGTGATCATTCACTTAAAATACAAACTTTAACCACTCAAATAAAGCAGGACTGAGGTCAGCAGTTTAACTGACTTATCCGTTTTCAATAATTTATCGTGCTTGAACTAAAAAGACTATTATGATTAAAAACAAACAGTATATAGCAAAATGTAACCTTCAGTTTCTGTCAATCATCAACGTTATTAACAACAATCAGACTTGAAATATTGTGAGAAGATTCTCTAAACAATGGAAATTATCATCTCAATTATTCCTCACCCTGTTTTTACATCAGTTGCCTTGTCTATCCTTATAATAGGGTGTCCGTTTTTACCACACTAATTAACCTTTGCTTTAATATCTTTTAATTTAAGTAAAAACGTTCTCAATTAAAAATTTTACTTCCAGTGTGTTAAGTGGACACGAATTGAAAAAATACAAGTTTACTGCAGTTTCGTCTTTTGGTTGTATTTATTAAACTGAACCTGTCTTTTGCTTTGGATGAAATGATCCAAATGTTCTAACTGGCCGGATCTTTTGTAGTAAATGCTTTAATCATATAAAGTTTGAAATTTTCTAGTTTTTACGGTATATAATTTAACGTAATTCCCTCATCACAGATGCCATTACTACATTTCATTATATTTTGAATAGTGGCTAACAACAGACTATCCAACATGTTTCTTATATTATTTGAGTTTGGTCAGGATATCCTGTCTGTATGTACCTGCGTCCTCGTGTTAACGCTAATCAATATATTCTTGATTACTTTTAAGAATTTCTAGTTTTTACTTGAACATTTCTTAGACACCAACCAAAATGTAATCAATTTGCAAATCCAGTTAAGAATCAAGTTCATACAATGACAAGGATTGATCGAATCCCAGATTCTCAAAATAAACAACAGAAAATGAAGATACTTTACAATTAACTTGATTTTATACTTCCATCAGTAGTTATTCAATTAGAGAGGCTTTTTAGAAGAATAAATAATGTTTTGTAGGCCCTTTATTTTGTCGTCATTTAGATCGGACGATGTTCTCGAAATGGTTCTCCACTCTAATGGCCCGAGATCTGACTCCAAGTAGATCGTATGAATGTTTGTTATCACATATCCTCGTATGTAATCATTGACTTAAATCGCGTTAGTCAATGACGGAATTAAACAAGTCAAATAACGAGAATGGACTTTTGAATAAATATATTTTGTATATAAAGCGGATAGAATCTAACAAAGCAAAACGACGCACAGTGAAGATGGCTGGTAAGCCAACTCCTATTTAGTCAAGCATTAGTCAATATTTATATTTACAGACATATGATGAATGAGACAAGAAATGTACACACACCTACGCTCTATAAAAACATTCAAGATTGATAAGCGAATAATTAACAAGGTCAGAATGTGACTCAAGTAGGATGAATAGACTGAGCTGTCCGAAAGCTAGAATAAGGTATATGGGCTAAACATAATAACCGACACTAGAAGTGCTTCTTTTTGTAATATCTTTTTATTATACAGTTTGTGGAAATAAATAAATCACTAGCAAATTCATAATTCACTCAAAAATCATCGTGTTCATTTTCTTCAGATTGAAGTGCATGCTTCAAATATGTTTGCTTTCCATTTTCAACATTCGTTGTTGGATAATTATCCTGTTGAATTAAACAAAATTATGTGAACAATAGAGTAGTATTAATAATAGTAGTGGTGATACTAATAATAAAATAAAACACAATGATTACTGACCAGTTGCATTTTTGATTATCGTTTTCTAACCTAAGTGATACTAAATCACGATATTGGTAGTTACAAGAAATAGTCACACATTCGCCACCTTGTATAAGACAAGGTGCTTAATAGGCGTAACAAAATATAGCAGATTAAATTTTATCTAAAAGGTGATTACCTTAAACTAAATAGCGTATGAAAGTCATAGGATATCGAATGAGTTTCGATAAATGAATAGTGCTAGTTACTGGAGAACAAGCGGAAGTTTATATGTGGGAAGACTACAATCATTCAACCAATGCCACTAAACTCAAGATACGAATACTATATGACAACCTCGGTAAACCTAAGACTTTCTCCACTTCAAAAAAAAAACGTCAGAAAGAGAAGTTTTTAAATAGGATAGACTGTGACTTATCACTTAAATGAATTATGCCTTAAAATGATCACTTTGAGGTCTTTCCTGTTTCCCCTCTACACTAGTCAACGAACCTTTACCTGACTTAGTATTTGTTTGAAACAACGTATTTTTTTTACTGACCTACCTATCTTGCTTAAAACCAAACACTTAATGGTTTTAGTAAATTTACAAGGTACTGATTAATCATTAATAAACAAAGGTATGTAAATTGTATATCTCAATCAGATTCAACAGATATTTTCTACTAGTATAAATAGAAAGAAAGGATATCATTCGACTGTTGTCTGAAGAACAAACTCATTTTCTGAACTAAAAATGAAATAAGTCACTGTTTGGACAAAATAGGACTATAAAATGTAGTAATAGAAAGACTTTTAGTTGTTAATCGTAAGTAGATATAAAAATAAAGTTCAGATGACCTAGCGATTAACCATTACGTTGTAATTAGTAGATGAAACAAATGAAACATGATAGTACTAAATAATAAACCTGATCAGTGCTCAGTATACTTTTAATATTATACGAGGAATTTTCTTTAATATCTGGCTCATCGAAATATTCACTTTACACTCTACTAGTTCTTGTCCAAACGTGAATCAAAACAATTTGTGAAAATCGGAATTCGTTCATCCTGTATTTTAAGCTTAAGTTTTTATTGCTATTTCATATTGTCTCTTCTTCAATTTCATTCATCCTTTCTAAATTATATTCTCTATGTTTATAAATGCTACTAATACATCTACTTTCTCATGAATACTGTCAGTTTTCTGCCCTCGTGTTATTATATTATAACAATTAAGGCCAATATATAATTTGTCCGGGCTCTACGGTGTTTATGATCAACGTTGATTGTCTAAACAGATAGTTAAAAATCTCCCTTGAAAGAATATGTTTAAGGAAATCTCTGGAGAGCGGTTGGAAACTGTTCATTTCTAATTTCAAGTAAACTATATGTCTTTAGTCTACGCATCTGTTTAGAGTCTAAGCTATGCTCCTAAAACACCAAGCATTACTATCCAGTCACCGGTTTGAATCCTGTTTAACTGGGTTTCAGTAACCAGGTAGTTTATAAAATGTGTGGGACATAACTTTGTATAAATATACAAGGCTGTTTTGTCTTCGAATCACATTACTTCCACTCACATACTATCTATTGGAGACGGAATTGAAAGACTTAATCACACTTTAGAAGATGAATATAACATTTGAAATTGTTGTATTCGGCATAATGGATTGCTTAAAATTTATCCCGATTTTCCATTTATAAATTTTTCGGAAACGTAGAAAACAGGGATACTCAAAGACAAAGATTAATAAACCTTAAATTCTGATAATTATCGATTTTCAATCAACATTTCTAATGTCCAACAGATAATAAAACGTAACTTATAATAGCTCATTAATATCCCTGTAATAGTCATGATTATTATTATAGGATTAATACTAAACTCTTTAAACAAAACGACTCCGAAGACAATGGAAGATAGTTTCAAATAGATTGAGCATTGGGTAGAAAGTTAATAATAAATATACATTTTTTTGTTATAACCCAATGTAATAATTGAGTTCATGAGTCAGTTGAAGCTAGACCACCATGGAAAACCTGAAAGCATTGGACGGCCGTTTCATCCTAGTGTGGGACTCCTCAACAGTGCATATCCACGATCTCGCTCGTGTGATTCGAACCCAGGCCTTTGATCTCGAGCGCGAACACTTAACTTCCAGACCACTGAGTCGGCACCGAACGGTGTTAATGTCTAACTTCAACCAATCCACGAAATTGCGCCACTGTGAGCTACTATCTTACAGTAGACCCAGGTGACCTCCATGGGTCACGGCATCTCACCAGAACTCCAGGAAGTAACCCATGGAGACAGTCACTAATGAGCATATGATGATTATAATCAGAGAGGGGTTTTGTGGAGATTGTAGTAATTTAATTTATAACCCAGTAATGAGAAAAGTTGAATTTTTGACGTTTCGTGACTTAGTGCAAGCCGCTTCCTCAGAGTAAACAAATAACCTAAATTACTCATTGGGATATAACAAAAATATATATTTATTATTAACAATGGAGGATAGTTGTGCAGCACTATAATTTTAATGAAGTTGGACATGTACGACAGTGAGTCCTGGTTAAGTGGTTTAGAGAATAAATGTTAGTGCATGAGACCGAAAATTCTAAGTTCGATCCTTGGTGAAATTATAGATGGACACAACCGAGGAGCCCCATACTAGGATTAAACAGGTATTTAATGCTTCTTAGTTTTTAACGGGTGTCTAACATAGGTTGGTTCATGATATTAATAACATTTTATAATCTTCACACTCTCCTATACTGATCTATTTGTTATCCAGTCATAAAAATTAATACAGTATTCACCAAAAACATGTTTGTATTTAAATTTCAGTCATGAACCACTTTTGACTGGCTTTATTGTACTAAATACTATTACTACACAATTTCTTAGTTATTTTCATTTAAAATAAACTTTGCAGATCAATAATTCATTTCCGAAAACAATAGAAACACGACCGAAAATTCTAGTTTATGAATAACAATTTTTATTCAGATCCTGGTTCATTATAATGCTGATTTTATACAGGATTTATATCCAGATGAGGTTAGATAAAATTTTAGATGACAGTACACACTCTTTTTATCTTAGTCGGCTCAGAATAAACTCTACGTTGTCAAATTATCTGAGTGTATCGTAGTCTGTAATGATGGTTATGTTTTCGTTTACTTAGTCACTCAATTGTAGATATTTTGGAATAGTTTCTAGCATATAATTAATTGGAGGTATGACTTTTGATGTTATAAATTCATGGAACTATGTCCAATTTAACACAAATGTGGATTGGTTAAAGTTGTAATACATCAAATAAGCATATCGAGAGACAATAAAAATGTGAAAAGATATTAATATTAAATAAGTAATTTCTAAAGGATATATTGATAGATGATAGTAGACTGCATAAAAATTGTGAGTGAAATAGAACTTAAAACAGTGATGATCAATTAGATTTACTGAAAATCAAGAGCGACAAAAAAATAATATGTACCTTAGATACTCGAATGGCTAAATTTTGATAATACAATAAACACAATATTTTTAAACTGTAATTTAGATAAATATAGACAATTTTCAACTTGAAATAGTTAGTACTGTTTACGTAATCTATCAAATGATGACCATAGTGACGACAGGAAAAGCTTAATATTTTTTGGGGGATGCTAGATTTCCATCACTTGGTAACCGTCTCATTTTCGTAATCTTATTTTGAAAATTTGAACTTCTCATTTTCGCGCCAAAAACACCCACTTTTACCTTCATTTTGTATTTTCCACTTGGAAAGAACCTAAATATCACTAGTTCGTTTCTTCTTTTAGTACGTTACTTTGTGACGTTACGTTTCTCAAGGACATTTTTGTACTGTATATATACACTTGAGTTGTGTGCTTGTTCGTTCGACCCTTCGGACTGCTTTATAATATACTTTCTCCTAGTCTGAATCTGGTCTCCTCTCTTTAGTCACAATGACTGAGGAGCAGTGAATAGTTTAGCTTGTCTTGTGGTTGTCTTGCTAACCGTTCCGTTTGCCAGTTCAGGTGATATTTTAATCTCTTTAAATGTAGCACTTCTACTGTTAATATTTAGAAATAAATTTAGTTCATTTTGAACTTACTTTCTGTGATCGTTTTATTAACAATGATTCATCCATATTTGTAGACCGATAGCTCCCTTCATTTACTTGAAAATCATCACTGTTATTCGAACTTAGATTTCTACCATGATAACTCGCACCTGAAATACGTTGACGACCAGGAGACCATTCAGGTTTGAGTTGATTTCTTGCAAGTCCACGTTTTATAGTATTTCCATTACTGCTTTGATGAAATGAATTATCATTTGCAACGATATCTTCAGCATTTTCATTTTGATTATCTTGATCATTGACTGAATCATCATCATCAATATCATCGTTATCACTCGTATCGTTATCATCCCCAGCACCAAAGCTACCATATTCTCCAGCATTAGTTTTTAAATTTAGTGGATTCTTAAAAGTATTTTCATCCTCACAATACGAAGCAGTTTTCTGATTCTCTTCATCTCTAAACTAAACAAAAATAAAAATACAGTGATTATCAATATACACAGAATTTATTAGTTCATGGAACAAAATCTGAATTACCTAGTTACAAATTCTGACCTTTTCTATGGATAGAGACTTCGGAAAAACGAGTAGTAGTATCACATTAGTCTCCACATGATATTTAGTCTTGTATATCTTTGCTGTAATGCATTAGTTACTTTTATCATTATTACACTTAATGAAGTGTTTGTTGTTTGAATGTTTGTGAAGAAGTAAATTATAAATGTAGAAGAACAAATTCAAGAAAGTTGACATAAAAGTCTACTGATCAAAATATTTACTTTGGTATATCGGGAATCAAAATAAATGCTTCACATAATGTGCGATAACATCACAAAGAAATTGAATAGGGAGAAGTTATATGGTCAATAATTGAAGTAGACGAACAAGTAGTGTTCGATAAGAGATATAGTTCAGCTAGAAATACAGTCAAGGTTACTTCCGTTGAGTAAAAACGGGTTACGCTACTTTTGATGAACCAACAATAGGAAAAGCTAGCATGATCGTAACTGGCTTCTATTCTGAGCTGTGTTTGATAATACTAAAAGCCACTAAGTTCTGTGATTTCTGGGATCATCCAGCAAGGAGTCCGTGATGGATAGACATAATCTAGTTCTGTATGGCTTTTTTTGATACCATAGCCCGACATCATAAACTAGCCACCTCTCTACTTTATCCATCTGCTCCTAGCATAAGCAAATAACGCAGTATGGAGGCCTGATGGATAACATTATTAAGGCATCCAAAGGCCAATGATACCTATTTTTCAAAATTATAGCACCAATTGAGTTTCCACAACCGTCCCCAAATATACTTTGTGGACACTAATATTATGTACACTGTTGCTGTCAGATATCGGCAGTCTTTTAGAGACAACGATGATCAAGATAGTGGCCGCTGAACATCCTCAACTAGAAGAGGACAGGTCTCACAGTCAAACAACAGAACTGCATTCATTGACACACTATACCCGGTTTTACAGTTAGATGAAAACTATGATAGCTCTTTAGTGGACTGTTGATCTGACTCCAATTTGAAAGGAACTAATATTCAATGAATATAAATCTCCCATTTAAACTCTATATATTACACCTAGGCTAACACCGTTTATGCGACAGTGGTAATAATAAGCCAAGCACGAGTTGAGTTGGAAGAATTTATTTCTGACACTCGTTTATTCAGACAGACATTAACGTAAAGAGAAGCAGGTAACCGAAGCAAAGCAGGGCAGGCAAGCTTGATAACTCCATTTGATGAAGTGTGACTCAATATTTATGGTTAGATAAAAGTATACCAAAGACGCGTGACGAATAAGGCAAGCTACATACTTCCATACGCTCAGAAGAAAACATCAAGGTTAATAAGCAAATAGTTGTCAAGGTCAAAATGTGACACAAGAAGAATGGTATATTAGTCTGCCCGAAAACTGAAATGACCCATGTGTGCTTGACATAGTACTAGACACTACAGTCCCATAGAAATGTCATTAATTCCCACAATGTACGACCAAAAATCATAAATACTGGATTCGTTTTATGAATACTCTAAAATCAATGCATATTGAAAGGGGACATTTCAGTCAACTTAAATTTAAACCAGAAACTAGTAATCTCATAAATCTTCGTGTGATTCATGGAGTAACTCTAATTGGTTCAGTAAGCAATCAATTTATCCAGTGCCCTTTCTTTGGTTTATCCCAATTTTTGTGTCGCAAAAATGTAGCAAGGTGATGGTTTCCTTTCGGCAATCTGAATTGTAAGCTATTGTATCCTCCAAACAGCCTGGTATTTTCAGTCTACTTTGTATTTGAGATCAGTATGCATCCAACCTTTATTTACTCAAAAACAGCTGAAGCCTGTAAATGTTGACAACCAGGCTGTCAAAATCTATGTTTAAAGGACTGCTTATAATTGTAGTAAATAATATCATTCTGATCCCAAATTAAAACAAATTTAACAAACCATCACTGTATTATTAGTGATTCGTACGCTGTATGCATTTTTACCACAGAATTATCGAAAAGCTATTATTTCCTGAATTGTAGTCAGCAGAGATACTGAGTTATGACGTAATCAGAGTAAACAGTTGAAGACTCAGTGTGAAAAGACTAAATCCCAGCAGCAGTTTTAATCATTGCACTGTTGAGTGTAGCGAATATTGTATCGGTCATTATTATAACGGCAGCAGATTCTATGCGCTTCCATTCGAAACTTTCAAAGACTGAAAAGCTTATTGACAAATCTCAAGCTACGATGCTAAGTAGCCCATGCTGCAGATATGTCTCGTAATTAAGTAGTAAGAAATATGAAAAATATATTCCCAAATTATAATAGACTACTTCAGTCTAAATGACTAGTTATTCTTTGTTTCTCTGAAGCACAACGATATATTCATCTAAAAAGAGCTCCCTTTATTCACTCATCAGGGTAGATTTACCTCAGAGTTCTGTTGTCCCCCCCCCCACCTTTCTCTTCCTGCTTTTTACATATAATTTGCCGTTTTCTACTAGATACACCTATTGAACAGTGACTGCACGCATCTCAGTTCCCTCCAGTTCACGATATATTGATTCCTAAACTGATATTCATATTAACTTGGGTTTGTTTTACATGCAAATATTTTTAAATGTTCTAGACAAAAAATAAATGTCGGTTTAGTGTGAGTGACTAAAAGACATATAATAAAGCTGAAAAAGTGAAACGAAAAACACTGGGTACTAAAAGCAATTGCTTTACTGAGAGTCTTAAATAGTCAGTATAATTCTGTGTTCTTGTTTGAGATGTTATATCTTCCAATACAACGCAATGGGTTTTCGTTGTACTGAATAATCCAATATGATTCTACACTTATTAACAATTCCTCAGTAAATAACAATCACTAATGATTGATATACAAACTGAATAAATTACATCAAGAAGGCTTTTATACATAATCGGACCTTTTATACTAGTTAGACGGTAGCAAGAAAGAAAACAGAAGCAGTCTTGTTCATTATATTAAAATCGAAGCTGGGATTAATTAGCTTAGTGTACGAATGTAACGGTTATTATCAATCCCTCTCACCTTTTGATGATTCACTCGTCAGTGGAATACTTTTCTATTCACATTTTAGGTCATTTATGTTAGATAAAAATGGAATCAAATTTGTTGCTACGATCTAAATCCTACTTCTTACATATGTGTCAACGTACAGCCCAAAAATAATTTGAAACTTTTATATAAGAAACCTTTATAAAGAGCAGGAGTTAAACAAACGAAACTCATGTGGCAGATTGTTTTCAATGTGTATGGGCTAGGGAGAATAACAAGTAGAGTAAACCTTAATGAATTCGAACTTACGATGTAAAGATGCATGTGTCTTAGTCACTGAACTATGGTTAGGAAAAATGTGTTTAACTTGCGATTAAATAAATTACAAGTAGAATGACATTTTACAAAGATTGTGAGAAATTCTGAGTAGATGTACACTTTTGAGACAAAAATAAATAAATTTAAGAAGAACAGGAACAACAAATCGTACAGAATAAAGCAAATTCATTCCATTTCACTCCGTATTAGCTGCATACAGCCTAAAATTACAATTAATAATAAACTTATAAACAATTTTTTTAAATACTTTAGTTTTTGAAGTTCAAATAAACGTTCAAAATATAACCGAAATCACAAGACAAAGAGGAGATACAAAATGAATGAACAAACAGTTAAAATCGATGTGCATTTATATCCTGAGAAGTATTAATGAAAATTATAATGGGTAATATAGTCACTATTGTTCATAATCAAGATAAGAGAGGTCATTTGAGGATAATGAAACTGTTAATTGATTAAGTAATCACTCGACATGAGTAAAAACAAAACCAAATAAGTCTGTGAACACCAATTATATTATGTAAGAGATGAGCATTAAGAGACGAAAAATGCAGAAATGGTCAAAAAGATTATTAAAGGTTATTTGACGAATACCTATTCACCATACCAGAAAAGGGACAACCATACTTTTATCTGTATGCATAGGTTAGATAATAACCGTTTAATAACAATTGTCTTTGAAAAAGTAATTAAAATTGATGCTGTTTGCCTGTTAGTGAATCTAAATCTATTCAAACAGTCAGTAGGCTACAAAGTAGAAACAGGCACATATATGCATCGGTCCAAGTTGTCATACCTCATGAGCACAACAAAATGAACACCAAATTCATAGAAACAGTTACTTTAGTGGTAGTAAAAAACAGGTATTTCATATAAGGATACGATACAGAGAGAGAAAATTAGTTCGTAGAAAGAATGGTACAATGTGATTGTAATCTCACGGTTTAAGGGAAGATAAAAAGTGTACACACCTACACCACTGTGATCGATTCTGGGCCATATCACCCAGAGTCGCCAACCGTTACTGCCACATTGACGTGGTGGTTGGGCTTGCCTATCTCGATGAATCATTGGGGCTATATTGGCTGAAACAATCGTTCCTCAAGGTCCCACAATGCTAGACAGGTCGGTTGAAGTACGGTAAGACTAAAAGCAGCAAACCCAAGGTTCGATGGTGAATTCGTACTGGTGACTGTACAGAGGTGTGACGGCAGCAAGATGTTTCCTTCAGGCAATTAGCATAACAGCGACGGTGCCCTCCCACAAGGGAAGCGTGGGGTTAGAAAAGGTTGACCCTTAGAATGCACACCGATATCCATCTCCGGTGGTAAGGTCCAAAAAAGTACGGAGCTAATACAAAGTTACTCGCGAAAAAGTCGTGTGTGACCAGTCTCAGACAGTTGTTCCTTCGGCACTAAGGTCACGTTCTCAGGTCACTAAGACCAACTCTAACCCGACTTCTCTTCCAGGTACTCCTAGAAGAAACCTTCCACGATGCAGAAAACCAGGGAGTGATAATCGCTCTCATATTTCTAACAGTACTCAAGACCACTGTAATCATAACAAATTTCCTTCTAGTTTAAATCGATTACTAATATTCACAAATTGAACTCATGAGTCAGTTGAAGCTAGACTAATATACACTTAATGTTCACCACACAAAAGATGCATGGGGATTGCACTTGTGAAGACTGTACTCCCTTTCAGGCGTATGTTTGTAGAACTCTGTTCAGGAAACTTAGTAGAAACTCGTTTCTTTCTTTTCCTTATATACTTTCAACTGCAGATACACGTTGACTCGAAGGTGACTTTGGAAGCATATTTATACATATTTAAGCAGTATAACAAACATGTGGTGTTGTATAGTAAAACACGTTTCTTCTGACCTATTTCTGTTTCGTTTTAGTGCACGAGCTCGTAAACCAGTGCAATCCTGCTCATTCTCTCACCAGTGTCACTAATCTTGAGTTTTCGAGTGCTTGCAGTCACAAGTCATCATCACCTTTGTGTGTGAACGAAAAAGAGGTAACATCATGTAGCAAGTCAGCCACATGATGTACACAAAAAATAAACAGGCTGAACAGTAACACCACCAAACCTACATTCTCGTTAAAACGCTAGTAGTAAAAGTTAAAGGACAACCTGTTTTAAATAGGAAGCATCATATTAAATAGGAATCTGAAGACAAGAGAGTAGTTTTACATACTAATGCTAACCAAATCCAAGTACAAAACTTGAGAATGTATATGTGAGGCAACCGATTGATTACACAAAATATCTACTGCGAAAGTCTCATAAATAAACATGCATTTGCCTTAAACCTGACCACTTCTAGTGTTACTAATTTGTTTACATAACTGAAGAACTTAGAAAAAATTTATTGGAAAAAATACTACTTCTTCATACACTTGGGGATGTTTTAGAGGCTAAAACCTAAAAATGAAAGACAAATTCTTTAAACAACCTCAAATAAATCCATATTGTATTAGTTGTTTGAATCGTCCCAAATAGGACGCGCTTCCTGTATTCCACTGCTAGCCACCACTCATCTATGCGAATAAATTTTGAGTGAAGCTATAAAATGCATAACGTTAGATATTTCTAATGATAAATATTACATGGTTTCATCGTCTAGTTAACATAATCACAACGAAAAATGATAAGCCTCATTCTATTATTGTTGTGGGATATATATTACAAGATGAAACATAGCAACGTAAGACTAAACAATGTACTAAGCATTATAGCAAAAACAGAAAATATGCACTCAGGGAAGTGGTTGGTAAAAGTTAATGGAAGTACATACACCAATACCCAGTGTTAGTGAAGAAAGTGCTCGTGCCTCACAGTTGGTTACTTTATTTCGAAGGTATTATCGTCAAAGCCTACATCACAACGGCTGAGCATCTATTACCGTCTGATAGTTGAAATCGTTTCTAAAAGCTAAGATACTTAATTTATGATATTTAAATGGTCTCGTGTAAACCATGTTGACTCTAATCCATGCAACGGAATATTTATTTTTCGAGATCCAATTTGAAATACGGTCACTTCTAAATGAAAAATCTGTCACAAACATGGAAGCACATTTCAAACACTTTAAGAGCTTGACGATGAATAAACCAACATTTATACCCTTGCTTTGAAAACTAAAATCCCCTGTACGTCGTTACTTAGCTGATTTGTACACACACAATTATATATATCAACTGATCAAAACTACTCACCTTATCAAAATCAAAGATTTCTGTTACATTGAGGCAATGTTGTTCATCTTTGGACTCGGAATCGCTATTTTGCATTGCTTCATATAAGATCCTTGTTATTTTTATAAGTTCCCTTACAGCATATCCATCTGCCTGGTAAAGTCTTTTGCTGTTCAGTTTAATACATGCCTTAGTAAAAATCAAGCGTGTTACTGATTTAATAAACAGAACGCGATCTTGTTCCGAGTCAAGGAGTGATGGTAAGTCAGCATAAGAGTCATACCGACAAACTAACCATCTGAGGATTTCCGAAACTAAAGGGAAATTCGGAGTTCGAAAATTTTCCAAGGATATGACGCGCGGGTATCCCAAGGAACGCATCATTTCAGTAAATAACCTCATCTCGCGGAAAGACATCTCAACTTCGTCGTTACTACGATACGAAAAAGTACCGTATATTCACTGAACTAAGTAAAACAAAGAGCACTCACAAATATGCATCAACGTAAAAGGGTAGGTAGTGTATGTTGGTAAATTCAGCTATTTTTAGTCTCGAAGGAGTTTATCAATTCAAAGACCTCGAACTCTTCTGATATATCCAATATTCTTTTAACCAAGCTGAGACAAACCTAGTAACTTGTCTTAGGTGGGCTTTTGGTGTTATGGATCAACTATAGATTTTCGATCATGCCCAGTGATTATAAAAGTCTTACTTAGTTTCAGTAGTCTAAGTGACCCTAAATAGGTTTGTGGTGGTGTATAAATCCCCAAAAAAGATACTTTGATAAGTTTCTGACGTTGATGCTGACCTCATTAGTTTTACTGGACACCTAGCTGAGGATTCTGGTTCACTGATCCGCACCAGATTACAACTGGTTACGCCATCCTACTCAACTAGACAGCTTAGATCAGACGCTACATAATATATATATATATATATCTTCGTTTTCCTTCGTTCATGACTTCTGATTTGACTGGGTAGACATTCTTCAAATATACAGATTTTATGAACAAAAGCTTAGTTTAACCCTAATTATCTGAGACATTTTCAGATTTATTGACTGGAGTTATACCAAGAGTATTCTGTCTGTTGTTAATGTAAACATGATGCATCGTGTATTTTTGCATTAGTTTAGTGAAGAAATTAAACATATTTCCTAGAAACCCAAGATAGACCTTCGTTTCTTAGCTGTAAATGAATGATGATTGTGTTTCGCATTGTGCAAGTCATTCTTCCTTATATGATATTCGCGACGGCTTTGTACTGTTGTGGATTAGTTACCGATATTGTTTTCTAGGTAACTCTTGTTTAGTTCAAAATCAAAAACAAGTTTACACCCACTTTTTCTGTGATATGTTCATGTTCGAACAAATAATCAAGCAACTAATTCACCTTAAAATTCTCAAAAATCATAATAGACGGATGACTCTGATGCTTCCCCTTTGGTTATCTCGATAGAGACTTCTGCCTTTTTAGCATCAGCTATAAAGTGTAGATGCTAAACTATCGGAGTTGAACGTAAACGAATTGACTACTTCAGTCCCGCGATAGTAACTCAGAATCACACCACGCGATAGATATCTAGCCTTACCCATCACAACCTGGAAGCCAGGTATTTCGTTTTCTTGGTGGTCATAGGATATGGGTGAAATGTCATCAGAAGTCTTGTATATTTGACATACGGCAAAAATAAGCAAGTAATATGATCATTTAGTCATGACTCAAGCCACGTAGATTTTCTATCCATTTACGCTGGTCGTCTAGGAACCTGATGAAATTTTATAAGCTAACAAAAGTTCAGCGGTCTGTTCTCCAGTGTATAGATGCGTCCAATTTAATGGAAAATCTGAATAGGATTCATAGATAATTCAAACACACTGCAACGGTTTCATCTCAGTTACAGAGTACTGATATGCAACTGCACCTACAGTTAAGATATCACTAGTGAGACAAGCTTGAGGGCCTTAAGAAAAATCCAACGTTAAATGTGTTTCAAGCGAATGAAGAAAAGGAATTAAAGGCAAAGTAAGATTAAGTAAGGCCATACTCCGTGGGGAAGCGCACTGTGAGTTCGGGTGAAAATGAGCCAAAATGACTTTTGTTGCCTGCTTTAATGAAGTTGTAGTGCTTTTTTCCTAAATGGCTTCTTTAGGGATACATGTCTCGAAATTTACACTAACATTTTCGGGTGATCTTATCCGCAACGCAACCATGTAAACTTAATGTATCGGTCATCTGTGCGTTCAAGTAACCACAGATTTTGACATTTCATAATGTATTTTTAATTAAATAACTAGGTTATATAGCTAATTTTGATCTTTTTTCATATTTTTATTCGCCACGTTCGACTGCGTTACACTGCATGTCCATTGCATGCTGGGATGATATCTCAAGTCATAGTGAGTTTATTCACATAGTTGATTGTATCCAGATAGACTGTCAGTGCATGATTTTACTGTAGAAAGGTTTTAATGTACTACAAACTATGTTTTTATGAACAACTGCCTGTTGTTTTCAGTCGGAAAGCAATATATATATTCTTTGTCTTCTGTTTGGTAAGTTCAATTGGCCTATATTTCGTGTTTTTGTTTTATCGTCTTAATTATGTCCATTTAACTACTTTAAGCAATATGCCTGTGCAAATGAAACAATAACTATGACACTTGCTTAGTTTAGTATTCTTGGTTGTCGTATTATTCAGTTTAGTTGAAAGAATTATGGTATACTTAAGTATAGTGCTTTAAGTCTGTAACGAAACAGATCAGTCTAGTAAGTAGAGTTGCCTTTTTCTGATGAGTATACTGATTGAAAACAGTCTGACTAAAAATAGGAAAAAAGTGCTTTTGGTACTGTTGCTGTCATACATTATAAGATGTTTAGTGTTTATTTCTAGATTGTACATATATCACTGACCATACTTCATGATCACTGTCATTAAACAATTTCCCCAGCAATAACATCGGCAGCAGGATAGCTAAGTGTGTCAGCTTTTATTTGCCCGCAGAAGAGCAGTATACAGTCTTAGAAGATGGCTGTTCTGTATCTCAATTAAATGCAGTTGGCTGTGGACAAATGTTAAGAATCTTTTTGGCAATCGGGACTTTTAGTTCATCAAACACTAAATCTGCTTGTATGTCTCCCTGTTAAACTAGATGCAGATACATGGTAATACTTAAATGAGAGCAAAATAATAAAAGCATTGAGATACGGTATTAAGTCTATGTTATACTTTGCACAATAAATAGCTGACCTGACCTAATATCCATGAACTAAAGGTAAATCACAACTGCATAAATTCTTTGCTAAAAAACATGTAATTTGGTTGTTTATCTATTCCACATTTCTGACTAAATTCATTACTGTTTTCTCATTTAGAATGCAACAGGACTGAGTCTTCACAGATCCTAAGAACTGTTTCGCCCTTAGAACTATGGTTCTATGGATCTGTTTACGGGAGACCCAACTAACAGCAGATTATAAAAAGGATGCTGGATGACCATTTTAATCTCACAACCACTTCCAGTACTTTTTGAGTTACTTCTTTTACCCTTTCGTTTGGAAAAAACAACAAAAACTGCAGCTTAACATTACAAATTCAACTTTTAGACTGGAACTTGGTTTAAACCTTTGTTTCATATTCGATTCTTAATGAAAGTTCTCGAATAAATTTTTGAACCTAATGCTACTGTTTTATCTACTTAATCGTTGCAAGAAACTTGTGATAATCGAGCCTCTCATCACCTAATTCATTTGTTCAGGCTTCCGTGTCTAGTAGCAGGGGATCACCGAAACCTCCCAGCAGGAACCTAGGTATGTTAACAATAAAAGATCCAGTCGCCTCCTAAAGGACTCCTGGGAAGTCGCTTGGACTAGTTCGGCGGGCAGCGAATTCCAGCATCCGACAACTCTTAAGGAGTAGAAGTCGCGTCTACAGTCCATTCTGCTATGTCGTGTCTCTAGTTTCTGGGACTAAGCTCAAATAGGTGTTTAAGAGAATGTCCAGAAGTGTTAAGGATCCTGTAAGTAAATAGGTCACCTCTAAGACGTCTATAATTTAATGAGTAGAGGTTAAGTGATTGGAGGCGCTCTTCATAAGGTGATTTGGTGCATATCTCCGTCACTTTCTTGGGAAACCTACAGGCTCGGATCCTCTCACAACTTATTCTAGCCACCATGAGTTGCCACGAAAACTAATGGATGGACACGCGTTACTCATCCTAACCGTCCCTGCGTCTAGTCTCATAGCTTCTTATCCAAATGTCATATGATAAGCAAGTAATGCTTCTACCGACACTAATGGAACACGAGTAATTCAAAAGCACCCTGTATGGTACTTTACATTGCTCTACGCACTCACTTAGCTCTTTAGTGAGAATATTACTACAGTCCTGCTAAAAAACCCACGAAGCCCCCCACCACCATCAAAACAATAAGTCTGTATTTGCTGCATATAGCAATTTTATTTTTCAGAAGATTTAACAGTTAGAATTGGAGTAAAATAACAATATACAACAGATGCACGTGGTACATGTCTTCATCGATCAACTGAAATAGAGAATACGGATATTAGCTTAACATGCTTATTTAGAAAGACTAGTGTTTACTTTGAACTTACAGCGTGAGAAAGTTATACTGGAACTGTGATTATGTAGGAATCCATTCTCCCAGGGCGTACGAAGCACTCAAACTGGAAGACAGTTGTCCCAAAATAATTCGAATATGAAGGTGAGGATTTGCAGGTACTTTTCATCGTAAAGGTGAACATGTTAGATAACGGTTGACATCATACCGTAAAAAAAAAAATTTGCGAGTGGTCAATTATGGTCTATAAAAAGCTGAGCTTAATAACAGTCACTCCCTGATCATGACCCTTCGGCTTCCTTTTGTGGCCAAAACACCAAACATACACTACACACTGATAGCAGATTTACGGCTTTTCAATGTTAAACTTGCTTTAACGCACTACGTAATGCGTACAATCCCTCCATTACTGCTATGTGGCATATTTTTTCATAACAAACCCTCTGTAATAGATTGGTAGCATCTGTGGTTGTCGGAAGCCTGGGTACTTTCGAAAACATTACTGACATCCCCT